GTTCTGTAATCAGAATATTACTAAAACCATCAGATAAATATTATATTTAAGAGGTAATTGAGAAGTTTTAATTAAAAAATACTAAGTACCTACATGGAACAAGGCATTGAGGTTGAAACTATGGAGAATAAAATCCTGAGAATAAATAGTTTTCAAAGATTCTTATTCCAAGAAAGAAGCTAAAGAAAGCACACACATAATTGAATTTAAGCATGGTATGTAATGTTATAAGAAAATCTATAAAGGATGTCAATGGAGAAAAGGAGTGAGAATTTCTTTTATCACAGAGTAATTACTGAAGGCCTCCAGAGAAGAGTTCTTGGAATTTGGGTCTTGAAGTTTTGAGACAATTGAAGTAGGTAGAAATGAAATGACATTCCAGGAAGGAAGGAGATTATTGATTAAACTGTTGATTAAATATTTGGTAAGTCTTCCAAATTATTTTTAAATACACCACACTTCAGTTTATACTTTTATACTTTTACTCATATGTAGTGTCCCTTTCAACACCATCTTGACAAGAAAGATCTAGAGAAAAGATTTTGTTCTTTGAAGTGAAGTCAGTGGCAATCTTTTTTTCCAAATTTGAAAAAAGGAAATCTTCATTTGGAAGGTGTAAAATTTCAAAGTTGAATGATCATTGACTTTGCCAGGATAGAAAAAAATTGAATCAAGTCAGTTCTATTTACTATTCCTCTTGTCTAAAAGTGTATCTACCTCACTCTTCTGAATCTTTGTTCTGTTACAAGGATATGGGATTTTCACTACCTAGATAATACAAACTCTGGTGGAGATTACAGTCGTGATTTGGTCCTGCATGAACTGCCTGGTGACATCTCCCTACATGACCTCAGATCCAAAGTGCTTAAGCTAAAATTTGGATTATTGAAAACATGAGCTATTGAGTAATAATAACCTCTTTCATTTATATGTAATCTCAGGGATTTTGGGTCCTCTAAGGAGTGCTTTCCAGAAATGGGAGGGAGAAAATTAGAAATGCAGATATTTGAGATAATCAACTATCAAAGACATTCATTCACTTATCTGCATTAGAGTATGTCAAATACTAAGTATCATAAGGGTGTTTCAAGGTAATAGCATTTTATTTAGAAGCTATAAGTATTTCTTGTTCCTCTTTTCAAGCTGTAATATCTGGGAACAAATGTTTAGTGAAAGATGGTGTATTATATAATTATGAAAAATATACATTTTCTATAACTATGTATAACAAATATAGGGTGATAAATATATGCATAAAGAAGACATTCTTTATGGGGTGAAAGTGGGGTGTGATTTTATATTTATATCATGAACCTCGAAAGGCAGCCAAAATATCCAAAATGCCAAGTGATACACCATCGAAACATGGGCCCAAGGATTTATTAAATATGCAAAAATAATACCATTAATAATAAAATGGAGTCATATCTTTCACCTTTATATTCATTGAATTGACAAAATTAATCAGAATCATTTAAATGCTACAAGATTGTACCTGAAGTATACTCTAGGAAGATGTAACCTTCACAAATTTGTTGAGATTCATAATGACCTTATGACGTGGCCATTATAAATGGAGGAACAAACTATTGAGGTGACTTGTAAGAACTCACCCCTAAAACATTCATGATGAGGAATATTTATTTTTCTTAAAATATTCCATAAAATCACACATCACACCTTGAATTAATTCCTTTCTTTTTTTCAGATCAACAGCTTCACACTCAGCCTTCTCCTCGTTCATGAAATCATGCAGCTATATAATGTGACTGAGTTCATTCTGCTTGGGTTGACCCAGGATCCTCTTAGAAAGAAAATTGTGTTTGTCATTTTCTTGCTTTTCTATCTGGGGATGTTGCTGGGTAACTTTTTGATTATTACTACTATCAAGACCAGCCAGACACTAGGGAGTCCAATGTATTTCTTCCTTTTCCACCTATCCTTATCTGACACCTGCTTTTGTACTTCCATAGCCCCTAGAATGATTGTGGATGCCCTTTTGAAGAAAACCACTATCTCTTTCAGTGAGTGCATGATACAAGTCTTTTCATTCCATTTCTTTGGCTGCCTGGAGATTTTCATCCTAATCCTCATGGCTGCTGACCGCTACGTGGCCATCTGTAAGCCCCTGCACTACACAACCATCATGAGTCGACGGGTCTGTGAGGTGCTGGTGGCTATAGCCTGGGTGGGGTCCTGTGTGCATTCTTTAGCTCAGATTTTTCTTGCCTTGAGTTTACCTTTCTGTGGTCCCAATGTGATTGATCACTATTTTTGTGACTTGCAGCCCTTGTTGAAACTTGCCTGCGCAGACACCTATGTGATCAATCTACTGTTGGTGTCCAATAGTGGGGCCATTTGTACAGTGAGTTTTGTCATGCTGATGTGCTCCTATGTTATCATCTTGTATTCTCTGAGAAACCACAGTGCTGAAGGGAGGAGAAAAGCCCTCTCCACCTGCATCTCTCACATCATTGTGGTCATCTTGTTCTTTGGTCCTTGCATATTTATATACACACGCCCTGCAACCACCTTCCCCATGGATAAGATGATAGCTGTGTTTTATACACTTGGAACACCTTTGATCAATCCTCTGATTTACACATTGAGGAATGCAGAAGTGAAAAATGCCATGAGGAAGTTATGGAGAAAGAAGTTGATTTCAGATGACAAAAAATGAGTGGGAGTTTCAAATTTTTCTTCATAGTTTGGATTTGTCTAAAAGTCTATTAAGAATGTTATCTTTTTATTGTGGTGTTAACATAATCAGGGGGCATGGGAATTCATTCCTTCAAGAATGAGCATGTACACTGGTTAGTGTTGAGTCAGTTTCATGTACAAGAAGAGACAGCACCAGGTACAAACTGCCATGTCAAGACACATGCGTGGGATGTTCACTGCTGTGTCTCTACCTCTCTTGGCCTGCCTAGCATCATGGTGGTTTTGATCTAGTGTTTTCCCTGCTCTTCTTCATGTTGACTTCTGGTGTTCTCTGTTTACAGTTATACTTTTATATGCTTATATCCACAGCCTGGCAGACTATTCCTCCTTCATATGACTTCCTTTGTATTAGACTCTTCAGTCACATCATGTCTGATCATGTACTTTCAACTTGGTATTTCTTCTTGGTTGACTGAGCAGAAAACACCAGATCCAAATAATTATAAAATCTTCATATTTTAAGGGACAATCTATATGTTAGGTAATCTCCCTTCTATTTCTTGGGGTCATACTTCAAATTCTCATATTTATTTAGATCCTCCTAGAACAGTGGCAGAACATAGTGTGAATATTCACCTTACTGAAGGAATCTTTTTACCTTGGGAAGGTTCTGATAGTGGGGGTGTTACTCATATTATTCTTTTTGTAAAAACTACTTTTTGCTTCTATAATGATCACTTCTAATTGAGGGGAAGCATTAGGTTTTTCATTGGTCATATAATTTATAATAATTTGTTTATACTATTGGGTTATTATGATTATAGCACAGATAGCCCAAATTAAGTAGATATATTCATGTGGGCTAGAAGTAAAGTATACAAGCAACAAAAGGTTGAAATAGGGAATTTGAATGTAACAACTGATAAAGAATGTTAAAACTCAGAGGAGTCTTTAGGCTTTGAAACAGAAATAGTTACATCACAGATATGAATTATCTTAGTGAGTTTTAATGTAATCTAGAAAAAAGGGTAACTTGAGAGAGACCAAGATATTTGGATAAAAACTGTATTTATGCAATAGAGAAGGATATCACCTTTTGTCACCATCCATCAACATTGCAGTATTGAGTTACATGATCACTAAGAATCTTTCAGTTTCAACCTATTTTCTTATTTGTATTTTTCTCCATAGAGAATATTTAACATGGGTATTTTTGGGTTTTTTGAACATATTTTTACTTATAAATTACTAAATTATATTAAAATCACTAAGTTTGTGTGAAGTTTGCTGTAATAGGAACATTAAAACCTCTTAGCTTGAGGGGCATCTGACTGGCTCAGTCAGGAGAACATGGGGCTCTTGATCTCAGGGTCATGAGTTTAAGCCCCATGTTGGCTATGGAGCCTACTTAAAATAAAAAATTAACAAAAAGAAAAAAGGACTTAGTTTGAAAAAAAATCATCTATTTCTCCATGTAGGAATGGAATCCTGTGAATTCCACAATGAACACTAGTGACATATATACATCACTTTTTTTTTCAGATTCAAAATTTATCCATCTCAAGCAGTTTATCATTGATCATAGCTGATTTTCCTCTTGCAAGGGTCACACTTTAGTAGATCTTAGTTGGCAGAGTTTTATTTGAAGTCCTCTTCTATTTCACAACAAGGCATATATGAAAAGGGGAATATGTTGGATCTAATTTAGGTACCTCCTCAGAGACACTCTATTCAAAATGCCTTCTGGACACACTTCTGAGATGGAGTTCTCTGGGCTGCTGTTACTGTGTCTCTTGACAACAGAGGTTATGATCTAATTCCAGTTCAGAATTTTGTAATAAAGATAGTAGAACTGAAAAGGTGATGGAATGTGCAACCTCACCAGGATTTTTTTTTTTTTTGACGTCAGTGTTTTGATAGGGAAAGACTAGTACTCTGACATCTAATGTAGACACATTTGTGTGGGTAAGAGGGAGAACTATGAACTCAGAGATGATCTTGCATCCTCTTGGTTGTCATAAGTAGCTCTGTCTTCCTTGAAAGAGGGCAACAACAGTCTTCTGTTGCCTAGACACCTTGTGATTACTTCATTTGAACAAGTTGTCAGACAATGATATTTGGTTTCTTCCTGAGATTCCTCCCACACCCTTCATTGCTTCCAAACATCTAACCAGGTGCAAGTCACAGGGAAGACCAAGCAGGAAAGTCCAGTATTGCTCTAGGAGGACATGTCATACATGAGAGAACTGTAGGATTCCATGACCACTATGTACAAGTGTGACCTAGGGGAACACTTAATGATGGGGGGTGTTTTCAGTGTGGTAAAAGAGAAGTTTGGAGTTGAGGTCTATCCTGATTGGCTTTTTCTGCAGACCCACATCATTGGATATGCCTAATTGAATAACTATGTTGTCTGCTTTTTCTCACGAAACTCTTTGTTAGATCTGTGGAAAGAACTATAAGAGAGTGCTGCCAAAGAATGAAAGACCTGATAGTCCATTTTTTTTTAAATCTTAGGTATTGGTATATCCTCAAAGTCTGTATTATTCTTGGGTGTGCTAGTTTTGGAGTAAATATGATTTAAACTCAATTCATATTCAGAGAGCCCTAAAGTAAATTGCTTGAAAAAATTAGATCCCAAAGTTTATAGGTAGAAAAGTATCCCATCAGTAAGACATCAGTGTGTCCATAATCACATAAAATTTTCAGAGAAAATAAGCCCAACTGAAAGAATTGAAGCTTGACATGACAACTGAGGATTGAGCATGGTGTGTGTGTGTATATATATGTACATATATATATGTATTTATGTATTATTTTTTATTTTTATGCTTCTTAGCATTCTTAGAAACATCTTTAATACAAGTGATCATAAACACTTCTCCATAGGCATTGTAGAATGTTATAACTTCCATTTACTGATACTACACTGTTCTCAATGCATCTTGCAAGTTCTTATATTTTTAATGGCAATCAGACTACAATATATTAATGTATCAAATCAACATGTTGTATACCATAAACTTACACAAGATATTTTAATTAAAAAAAAAGATGTTCTTATTAGAAGGGCTATCCTGAAGATAAATTTTGATTCAAACTTTGGAGGAACTAACGGGACATTGGTGAGTAGTGAAAAACAATAACATGTGAGAGTCCCTAAGTAAAATTTTGCTGACTTTAAATAATTTGGCTACTATTGCACGTAATAATTTAAAAAAACCTTTACAGTTAAAAAATGCATATGTCTGAATATAGAATCTTTTGACATGAAACATGTAGCTAGGACTTGAAATTTGATGTTAGGAGTTGATTTGTTGAAATCCCTTTAGGCATGTAATTCTACATTTAACATGTGCTATATTATCATATTTCCAGTTCCCAGGGCTAGGGCAGGAAATTCTGAGGGGCATTTTGGAATTATGTCTACCACGGTGTAAAAGGAGTTTTGGAAAATCATAGCTTTAACCCAAGAACTGGAGAGTGCATAATTCAATATTTCTAAAATGAACGTATTTCTATCTCTATTAAATACGCCACTTTTGCATCTTCTTCCAAATGTTATTTATCCATGTGGAGAATATGACATTCTCTTAGGCGTGGTTCGAGTCTTGGAAGAAATATAAGTAACATTTTATATTAACATAATCCTTGAATACAACTAAATATATGATCTTCATCAAGTATCTTATACAATCAGATCAGCTATAACAAATTGTCTACATGCACGAACACGTCAATGCCGTGGATGAGGGCCTGGAGTGGGGAACTTATATTTCAGTGTCACAGAGTTTTGTGCAGTGAGCTGTTGTCTTATTTTGTCCTTCAGTATCAATGACTTTGGTCTAAAGATTGTGATCTGAATGCTTTGTCCTGGAGATATTTCCAAGTTTCTTTGTAAACTGTGTCAGAGATTTTCCAATAATAATAGTAAATAATAGTAGTAATACTAATTATAATAATAGTGACTACATATTACTGATGTGTGATAAAATAATTATATTTATAGGAGAAGAATCTAAATATCAGTGAGATTAAGTGTCTTATCCAAGGTCACATAGCCTGTGAAAGGTACGCCTGGGATTCAAACTCAGACCCTCTGGTTTCAGCGTTTGAGGTGGTAAACATGAAATCATCCTGGACATCTGGCAAATGCATCTCACATAAAATTGCCTCTTCTTCTAAATACTTAAGATGCATATATAATTAGGTTTTGATGCTCTTCGTATGGTGCATCCTTCAGCCATCTTCCTGTTTCCATTCGCATGCTCAAATGCATGCACTCACACAAAAATAATCAGTCCTCCTTGCAGTGTTTCTGACATCAAAAGCACAAAAATTAAATTGTTTAGACAGGGAACAGAATTGTAAGTGTATTTCAATAAAAAAATGAAAAGTAAATCTTTTAAATTTTATGGTACTTTGCCATCATCAAATAATCAAAACTATAGAAATTATCTTAGTAATTTATTTTGTTGGTGCAATTGAGATTCTACTATGAGTGGACTGTATAAGTTGGAAAATAACATTATTTATCCTAAGTACACAATTCAAAATTTAAGTGTAATTTTGAAATATGCAGTACATTATTTTATTATTTTAATAAAAATTCAGATACACTTATTAAGTACTTCCTCTGTGTAAAATGTGGTAGTACTGGTCACAGTCATTGTAGGGTCAGTAAAGCATCTTAGCCAAGGTCAAATCCTACTATACTAGTTACTAGTTGCCTAGTCTTGTCAATTTATCTCTTTGTGCCTCTGTGGAAATATTAATAATACCATCTCATAAGATCATTATGTGCATTAAATTAAAAAAATTCCTTTAACATCCTTAGCACAATTACTAGCACACTGTAATGACTTTTCAATTACTGCTATTACACTTGCCATCCTTAAAATTTAAGTTATTAAATACAGTCTAAGGAAGAATAGACCCTATTTTCATTGAGTTAATAGTCTATTGAGAAAATGAGAGAAGAACACCAATATTTAAAGAATACGCACAAAACCCCCCAAAACAAAATGAGAAAACCTTCAACTATTTATGAAAAGAGGGTCAAGTGATCTGGTGAAATTAGGTATTGGGAGTGTAAAGGGATGACTTGGGTTGTGCAATTAGGTTTCAGAAAGGTGATATAATTAGGATAAGCTTTGTTGGAATGGGGACATTTAAATGACACCTTAATTATTTTAAGAAAAAGCCGAATACCCTCAATGTTAGTAAATAATTAGCCTTGATAATGGAAACAGTGGAAGACCCTTAAGAAATATAATGGATGCATTAGTGTTTATTCTTTGTGTAGAAAGGAATAAGGCCACTTTAAAAACTTTTTGATCAGTGACCATAGAAACTACATTCGATATTTAATGTCATATATTTGAGGCAATCTAAAAAAAATCTATTTTAAAAAGCACATTTGAAAAACCAAAGCAATAGCAAATTAAAATCACCAGTTTATTTTTACTAGCCTTGTCCAAGAATTCCCATAAGGATTGCCATTGACAGGTACAGTTCTTACGTGCATCCAGAGCCTTTAAATACTCTTCCTGACCTGTTCCCCTGTGGCTTCTCCAAGAGTCCCCAACCCTGTGCATTTAGGGAAGTAGACATTGAAGCTCATTATTGCACCAAAGGGAAAAAAAGGCAAGACAGAAAGGCCCAGATGCAGTTGAGATTTTCCTTCCAGTTTTATGCTTCTCATTCCTGTTCTGAGTATTCATAGTTTTTAAGATATATTTATTTTATTTTATTATTTTTTTATTTTTGTAGTTTCAAGTTTTTATTTATATTCCAGTTAGTTAACATATAGTGTAATATTAGTTTCAGGAGTAGAATTCATTACATTTAAATATAATTTGAAACCTACCTACAAAGTATGAGACTTTTTCATTACTTTTTTTGTCCTAAGAGATCTATTCACCTTCTGATTTTGAAGATTTTTTTTCATTTGTTGTCTTGAGTTCAAGAAGACAAAGATATCGCTTTCAATATTAATTGGAATTGGTTGATACTAAATATGTGAGTTCTTATATTTTTTTCCTTTTCCTTCTTTTCTTTATTCTTACATTTTCTATTTTTGCATGTCTGAGTTATGTCATCTCTTTGAACAGCTATAGAATCATCTATCTTTATTCACTTGTTTTCTGAGGTAATATTTTTGCATGAATAATATTCTAGAAATATATCTTCTTGATAATGATTTCTTTTATAACCTTTTAGGCTTCTAATTCATGTAACAATTTGGCATTTTAATAGTTTAAAAACAACTTTTAAAGGTCTATTGTAATAAAAAAATTAAAAAAAATGGGAATGTTATTTTGAAATCCTGGTTTCAAACTTGGGACTGCTTAGCTGCCAGGTCAGGAGGCTAAGAGAAATTATGGAACATTGTGCACTCTCCTTTGGATAGAAAATCAATGATAAAAAACAGTAAAAGTTTAGAAAAAATCAAATAATTGAATAAGATAAGAAGTAAGTAATAAAGAGAGTAAAGATAGTAAAAAAATGATGGAAATTAATTGATAATTTTGATAAACTGGTAAATGAATTAGTAAATCATTTGATTAAAAAAATTAGTTCTTTGCAGCTGGAAGGATCCATGAAAACTACAATTCCTTATTTTCTTAAGAGGAAATAGATATCCAAAGAATCTGAGGAACTAAATCCCATAATCAGGGAGTGGCAGATCAGGACAAGAACCTCCATTTCTTGCCTCACTGTGCCATAGGTCTGTAATACTGAGCAGTAATCCATGGTATTTGAAATGAATAGGGATTATATGGAAGAAAATTTCAGTAACCACAGTTAAAGAATTTCAAATTATATAATCGGTGACTATTTCTTTAACAAAAATAAATCTGATATATATTAAAATTTTAAAAAACCTGCAGAAAACTAGAAAATGACCTAAGTAAAATAGAGGGATAAAAAAATTATTTTCTTGAAGTGTTTGATTCATTATTCTAAATAATAAGAGAGAGACTATTTTTTGTAGGGTATTGAAGATCTTTATGAATAAATTTTTACTTTGATTTTAGTTCTTCCATCTGCGAAATGGGAGATCCTATGACCTACCCCAGGTCTTGGTCATTAGTTTGGGATTTTCAGTAATGGTTAGTTGTCAAAATACTTTTATAACTTCTGTAGAAATCTATATTCAGTGGCATGTTAAACTCATTAAAGAAAATTTATTCCCAATGTTCCCTTTGTCCTAGAACTGTGAAGCATTTATAGAATATTAGTCATTTTTAAATTAATAATAAAATTTCATAGTTAGTTAATTCTTATGGTGTATTATATGCACTGTAGCTAAACGTTTTATATGAATATTTTAATTTGATTCCCACAAGAATCTTATGTGATAAGTACTATTATTGAAAAAACAAGGCTCAGAAGGTTTATAACCTGCCTAAGATTATTTAGGCTTAGTGGACCATATATTGAAACGCATTCAGCCAAATTCAAGC